CTGCCCTTGTCAGTATAGCTAACCAGCCCTGTTTCCGTTGCAGCCAAAATGGTTTCTGTAGCCGAAGGAAATATAGAAATCGAATAAGCCCCTTGAGGTATGCTTCCGACTTTTTGCCACTGTTCCCCACCATCTTTCGTTTCGTACAAATTGTTGTCAGCACTAGCCAACAACGCAATTAAGTGACTTGAATTCCTCAGATCCATCGCTAAGTAGTGAACATCCGGCTCATTGGGTTTTGCTTGATTGGGAAGTCCATTCTCTGTAGTTTCCCAGGTCTCCCCTCCATCATTAGAACGTTTCACAAAACCATGGCCTGCGACAAAGATGTTCATGGGATTATTGGGATTCGTTTCAATTGCCATGACATCACTTGTCATAAGTTCTTTACTAGCTCGCTTCCATTTTTGATCTACAAATTCATATACTCCGTTATGAGTCCCCATCCATATGGTTGTATCATCTTCTACAAAACTAAAGATATGAGGATGGGTGGTGGTCTGGGGTGTTAATAGATCCAAATTTACTTTCCTGTCTTCTCTGCCCTCTCCCCAAATAATAAAACCGAAAAACACCACTAATGATAATGCGAGATAAAAGCCCATACCCAGGGAAAACCCTTTTTTCTTTTTTTGCATTGATCATTCTCCTTGCCTTTAATAATGTTATGTCAGTATAGTGAAAAATTGTGAAGATTCTGAGTGTATTGACGGAAATATGCAGGAGGATACTCTATAATCACATGATGTAATAACCTAAAAATATATATATATTTCAACCATCTGGAGCCATATGGTCACAGGATTCCTCATGAGTCAGCCTATGATCAGCTTTTAGTAGGGGGAAAATCAATAAAAAACCCAATCAGCAAGAGCTAATTAGGGGGAGTGTATATCTTACTATTATGAAAGTGTTGATCCATGGTCTTCATGCCAGATTTGGTGGATCACATCGGCCAAGATCGAAATCGTTCTATAATTTTCTTCAAGTACATTTTCTACGCCGCCGATTTCGATTAAGGCACTAGATTCGGCAAGCGATTGGTTGTATTTCCCGTTACCACTAGAATGATCTTTTGAGTATATTCCCTTCGATATTCCAGGTATTTTCTTGTTTAATTTATTCTGTAATTTGGTGGCAAACTCCATCGTTTCCTTCCAATTGGGATTTTCTTTTCCTACCACAAAATATAATTGTGCATAGTTAAGTTTATCAAACACAATGGTCGTCTGATCTTTGGGTTGTGAATCACGATGGATATCAAAGACGTAGTCAATGGATTTATGATTAGACAATTCCTGGCTCAATGTATCCTTTGAATAACTATAAGATTTAGCGTAGTCGAAGTTCTTAACTATACTTGGATAGTCCGCAGTAGATTGAATCACATTCATCCCTTTCGCTGTTAGTTTTTTAGTGAGGTCCTCTCCCAATAAGGTGACATTAATATTAGAATCAAATGCTTCATCTGCGGAGGTTTTACCTTGCAGCTCCGGTAACCAAGATTCACGGTTATGAGTATGATAAATAAGAATTTGCGGTTGAGTAGATCGTGAAGCACTTTTTTGCTGGTTTGTGTTTTTCGTCGCGGTTATGTTGTTTGGCTTCTTAGTCACATGCTCATGGTTTGTATTTTCTGTTTTAGTCGATTGGTTGGTTATCTTATCTTTAGAAGTCTGAGTACCCTTACTCAGTTTGGTTATTTCTTTAGATTCTATGCCACCTGTTTGATCTGAAGTAATGTTGTTCACCACTACCTGGCTGCGTGGAGGTACGCTTTCCTCTACAGGAATGAAGTCAATGTACATAGGGATAACTTTCAAGGAGATAATGAAAGATGATAGAAATGTAAAAACGACTAACTTACTCCTTCTTCTTCTTCGTGCCATTTCATTTTCACTTCCTTTTTCATTTTGTCTCTACCATTTCTATTCGCTTTTTCATAGAATAGAACAACATTCCGTATCCCAGACCCACAATAAAAATAGAAAGACCCTCATAGCTTTTCTTAGGATTTATATAACAAAGTCTGTTCTTTTTTTCATATATTCTCCATAGTTTATAGATTCCCTCATGTTTACACAGTTTTTGCTTGTCTTCATGGGGAGAGTTATCGACTTAAGGACTAGAGTTTGTAACGAATAGAAAAGCTACCCGGTACGATATCTATTAAGGTAAACATCAATCTTCCCTATACATATTAATTTTGAACACTAGAGACAATTAAAGTATGTAAATTAACTTCAACCCAATATCATAAACCTTGATGTTGCGTAGAAAAAGAAAAGAATGACGTCATTTCTGACGTCATTCCATAAGGGATCTATTTTGTTGAAAGCTCACTTTCAACTAACCATTGGTGATTTTTAACCGGGTTTCCACCGGTTGCTGGTGTATAATCGACCATATAAACCGTTGTTTTCTCAGCTGAGTCAATAGTTGCCTCAGCACCCATCATGCCTTCCATATGGTCAGCTTCAAGGGTAACTTTGGTCCCTGGTTTTAAGGGCTCGCTACCTGCATCTTTGATTTCTTCTTGAATAACCCACTTATGATTAGGTATTGGATCACCTCCAGTGGTTGGAGTAAAAGTTACTGCGTACGCTACAGTATCATATGCGCCTACTACTTTTGCCTTTGCTCCGTTCATGCCTTCCATGTGATCAGCATGGATGACGACTTCGTCTCCAACTTTATAAGTCGGATTCTCGGCTTCTTTTATGCCCTCAGGAACCTCTCCCGATCCTGAATGATCCATCTCACCCATATTCGAGTGCTCGCTTTCTGTAGTCGTATTGGAATTGTTGTTGTTGTTCTCCTTGTTCCCACATGCACTCAACACCAATAAAACTGCCAAGCTAAGTAAAATCAGTATTTTCTTCACTGTTATCACACACCTTTACTTTTATTTTTGTACTTATGCGTGGGTGTAAATCGAGTCACTTTAACATTTTACCCAAAAACATTGAAGATATTGTGAAGATCCACTTATTGATCCATTTTATTTATTTAGGAGGACATTCCTTTTCTTTAGGAACGGTACATTGATTAACATCTATTAACAATCTCTTTGTCAAATGCTTCGTAATACTCGTTTATAAACTCTTCCCATTGTTGATCCTTAGAGCTTTGGTCCTTCATCTGGAATTCAGCTAGGTAAAGTGTGATCAATGATTAATCCGGAACTTCGGCAATCCATGAAGAGTCAATAAATTATACTGGCTTAAATCCTGCTTCTAAATACGTAAGTATGAAATCTGGGACTATCTTTAATGCAGCTCAATACATATACCTATCTTAATTTTTACTGCCCTTCTAAATAAGTTCGAAGAATAATGCGACCTACTCGGTGGATCTCTTGTCGTTCCTGCTCATTAACTCTCTTGGTGTATGACTTATAAATATTTGCGCTTGGATAACGTTCCCCTTGATGGAAAAAGTGGGAGAATCCTTTCTCAAGACTAATGTAACACTTTGCTCGCAACACTTACATCAGAATCCATATTTTGAGAATGAATCCGATACTCCTCAGTTAGGAAAAAGAAAGCCGTATCAATATCATCACCTAATAACGGTATCAGAAGTCCGTCAGCTAACCATCCTTAATTAGGAATAGCTGTACTAGAAGATTCCTTCGGTAATATACTGGCAGGTGCAATAAAATTATCGACCGCAGTTTGAGATAAACGTAGTTACAATTTTAGAGTTTGCTACCTGTGTTTGAGCACCCGAATTTCCGCCACCAACCACTACTGTATTTCCTGGGCTCAATTGATCTGGGTTTAAGTACTCTGAAGAGTACTGGGTAACATTCTCTGACAATGAATTGGAAAAGGACAGAGTATTTTCACATGGTAAGGGCCTGTTGCAACGATGATGTTCAAGCCTCAAATATACCTTCAGTTGTCTCTGCTTTAAAGTTACCATCCTTCCAAAGCCGTTTAATAAGACATTCCAGTTTTACGGGTAGATCCATTTTCTTTGCATATGAGTCAAGATAGTTTGCAATCTCATCTTTACTTGGCAGTCCATTCTGATCACCTTCTATCGGCATGCCAGATAACCCGTCGTACATACGAGGCGTAAAGAGATGGAGTGATTCGTAGCGGCGTGAATCGTCTATTGATGATGCATCGTCCAGAATGATAAAGTTTAAACCAGTTTGTTTTAGCGGCCAATCCTGCTTGTCCAGCACCAATAACTAACACATCGAACATAGTTATCCTCCTTCAATTGAGTTAATGTAGATTAGCCTGTTTAGTATCAATCAAACTTACGTTTGATTGAATAATTAAAATATGGTAGTGTAACAATCAAACACATTTTTGATTGACTGGAGGATATATTTATGAAGGATAGTTGTGAAATTTACTGTTATGACGAGCCTAAAGTTCGTAAAGTTCAAAAGGCATTAGAACAGCAAGATATAAAGGGCATGGCCAAGATGTTTAAGTTGTTGGCTGATGAAACTCGAATGAAGATCGCGTTTGTTTTATGTGAAGAAGACGAACTTTGTGTATGTGACGTGGCCAATATTACGGGATCATCACTTGCTACCGCATCTCACCATTTGCGGTCGCTAAAACAGCTTGGAGTAGCTAAATACAGGAAAGAAGGAAAGTTGGCGTTTTATTCACTGGAAGATGATTACGTACGCCAATTAGTTCATTTAGCTTCAACACATAGCAAGGAGTTGATGACGCATGCAACAACATGAGGAAGAAATAAGTAACAAAGAGGTCTATCGTGTACAAGGGTTTACCTGTACAAACTGTGCCGGTAAATTTGAAAATAACGTAAAAAGTCTTCCTGGTGTCACAGACGCACAGGTTAATTTTGGGGCAGCCAAAATAACCGTTATGGGAAATGCAACTGTCGAAGAGTTAGAAAAGGCAGGTGCTTTTGAAAACCTAAAGATAACGCCTGAGAAACAACGGGTTATAGAAAAGAAAGAGCCTTTTTGGAAAGAGAATTGGAATGTGCTTTTGTCCCTTTTATTGATGGCGGCAGGTTATTACTTGGCCTCGTACTATGGAGAAGAAGCCTTGGTTCCTGTAATGGCATTTGGAGCGGCCATAATTATTGGCGGATATGAACTGTTTAAAAGGGATCAAGAACTTATTTCAGCTGCAATTTGATATGAACACGCTGATGACTGTTGCCATCATTGGAGCCGCTGCCATCGGAGAGTGGGGCGAAGGTGCTGTTGTTGTGTTACTCTTTGCCATTAGCGAAGCATTAGAACGGTATTCAATGCAAAAGGCTCGTCAGTCGATCCGTTCACTTATGGACATTGCCCCTAAAGAAGCTCTGATTCGACGTGATTCTGCTGAAATGACCATAAGTGTTGATGATATCCAAGTTGGAGACGTTATGATCGTCAAGCCAGGACAAAAACTGGCTATGGATGGAGTTGTAATAAAAGGAACGTCGACGTTAAATCAGGCAGCAATCACGGGAGAGTCTGTTCCTGTTGCTAAAACTGTTGACGATGAAGTGTTTGCCGGAACACTAAACGAGGAAGGGTTGCTTGAAGTCAGAGTTACTAAGCATGTTGAAGATACAACAATCTCCAAAATCATTCATCTCGTGGAAGAGGCACAAGCTGAACGGGCACCATCTCAAGCTTTTGTGGACCGGTTTGCTAAATACTACACGCCTGCAATTATGGTGCTGGCTTTGGGCATTGCGATTATTCCGCCTTTGTTGGGTGGGGACTGGGGAGATTGGATATATCGTGGGTTGTCCTTGCTTGTAGTAGGGTGTCCTTGTGCATTGGTTATATCTACACCAATTTCTATTGTTACTGCTATTGGGAATGCAGCGAAAAACGGTGTATTGATTAAAGGGGGCATCCATCTTGAAGAAGCTGGGCGCATTTCGGCTGTTGCATTTGATAAAACAGGTACCCTTACTAAAGGATTCCCGGAGGTAACGGATATTACTGTTTTTGGTGAACATAGTAAGGGCGAGATGCTTTCCATTGCTGCTGTAATTGAAAAAGGATCACAACATCCACTAGCATCAGCGATTGTACGAAAAGCTGAACAAATGGGGGCGGATCTCTCCCTTTCAGTTGATCACTTTCAATCCAATCACAGGAAGGGTGTCAAAGCCTCGGTCGGACAACAGCAATATTATATTGGTAGCCCTAAACTGTTTGATGAACTGGAAGCTGAGGTATCCATTTCAATACGTGAACAAATTACCATGTTTCAGACACAAGGGAAGACGGTAATGGTGCTGGGGACGCAACATGAAGTCATTGCCTTAATTGCGGTTGCCGATGCCGTACGTACTTCGAGTAAGGCTGTTATTAATGAATTACATTCTATAGGCGTAAAAAAGACGATCATGCTCACTGGTGACAACCAGGCGACAGCTAACGCAATTGGGCAGCAAGTAGGTGTAGCAGAAATTAAAGCAGAACTGTTACCTCAAGACAAATTGGATTACATCAAGAAGCTCCGAGGAGAGTATTCTCATGTAGCGATGGTGGGTGACGGAGTAAATGATGCACCTGCACTTGCGGCTTCCACTGTGGGTATAGCCATGGGTGGCGCAGGTACTGATACTGCTCTTGAGACAGCTGATATTGCACTGATGGCAGATGATTTAAGAAAATTGTCTTACACTATCCGTTTAAGTAAAAAAACACTGGCTATCATTAAACAAAACGTAGCTTTTTCCTTAGGGATTAAGTTGTTAGCTTTAATACTTATCGTTCCCGGATGGTTGACCTTATGGCTTGCAATTCTGGCTGACATGGGAGCAACTTTGATTGTGACCCTTAACAGCTTAAGACTTTTAAAAATTCAAAAAGAAAAGTAATACGATCCGACCGCTGAAAGGCGGTCCTCTTTGTAATTACTATACTACCCTACTCGTTAGCTTAACGAAAAGACAGCCGACTAATTAGTCGGCTGTCTACTTTAATTATAGCATTTTATTGGATCTCCCAACAAACTTATGCTTCTAAGTTGCGTTAAAGAAATCATGATAATTTCTTAAAGCGGCCATTGCACGCCAAACTATGGGTTAAGTCACATGAAAAATTTCAAAAGAAAAGCTTTAAATGCAGTGAACTCAGTCAAAACTCAATTATACAACTGTAATAGTCCCATAATACATATACATCCCACAATTGAAATGATAAGTTCCAGGTTTCAAGTCACTTAAGGTAATGAAGTTATCCCCCTTTTCAAGATACACATCTATACCTAAATCAGCAGACTCAACACTTCTTATACATGTATAACCTGTTGGTTTAAGGAAATTAATTTTTGTAGGTACACCGGCTTTAACTACAATATTCTCTTGGCTAAAGCCATCCGATTTTACATCTACTGAAATCACTTGATATCCTGCATTTTCTTGAACAGATTTCTGTTCTTTTGTTTGCGCATTAACTACAGGGTTTTGATTCTCTTGATACTGATTAAATAGCAGCAAACCCACCGAAACAGTACCAAAGGCAACAGTTATTATACCTGCACTAAAGGGCACGCTAATCCCACTGCTCGTTGTTTTATTGGTTTTAACTGAATCTGAATTTGTTAATTGAAGAACAACACAAAATATAAGGATAAACACGATATCAACAAACAATGCCATGATATAAGTAAATCCAAGCATAGATCCGAGCATGGCCCCCATCATTCCACCCATGATTCCAGCTAACATGCCATCTAACGATGCCAGTACACTCACAGGCTTTCCTGTAAAGTAACCGGTCCCCAAACCGAATAAAATAGCGATGATGGTAGGGACAGCCAAATCATGATCAAACACAATGCCTAGTTGAAAACCAAGGGCAAGACTAGACATCATCCCAATGCTCATAGCAATCATCATTCCAGGCATACCTGTGACTCTATCTTTTCGTCTATAGGTATTCAGCACAATGTATCCGGATAGAACGATAATCATTACTATACTTAATAATGTAATTAGCATTATAAGCCTCCCGATATATAAAATTTTAAATAATCATGTACTACACATTGTAGTGTATTTATGAATAGAATACAGTTTAAATTCGAAACATTCAGTAATTGTTCATAAAATTACTGTGCTATTTAGGCAAACGGCTCAAAAAAGAACGTCTATTCTAGGTACAGAATATAGCCAGAAAGGCTCCGAGAACATAAAAATAGTCCTTAGGGAGATAAACTAGATATTTGATGTGCAAGCTTCAAGTATGTAATTTTAACCTACTTAATGCAAATTTTTTCCTTTAGTTGAACAAAAGCAGCCGATCACATGGATCAGCTGCATCTTTGTAATATTGAGCTATAGTTTCCCGTTAGCTTAACGATTAAAAGCCTCGTTTTAGTATAATTTCTTTAATAATTCCTTTTGCGTTGGCTTAATATTAATGATATTTCTGATGTGTTTTGCCTTTAACTCAGCATCCTCAATTGTACTGGCTAACCCTAGTTCTAACAGTGTTCCAGCTGCAACGGTCCCCGTTCTGCCCTTGCCACCCCCACAGTGAAAGGCAACTTTCTTGCCGGCGTTATAAGCTCCAACAACCTCATCAATTGCTTGTTTAAAAAGTTCGGCTTCGTTTTCTTTCGTGTTGTCATCAAGCGGAACCTTTACCCACTTCACATGAGCTGCTGGATATGCACATTCTGTTGCTTCTTCCCGCAGATCCACCACGACTTCAATACCTTCATTAAGAACCATTTCCTCTACGTCTGCAGCTCCGCCCATAAAGATTTTATCCGCAACGAGTGCATGGTACTCCTTTTTAGCATGATTCATCTTACTTACCTTCTTTCAAGAATTGCTCAATTCGAGCCTTAATTGAATCACGGACTTCGGCGAACGTAGCTGTGATTTCTTCCTCTGTACCTGTCGCCTTAGCTGGATCATCGAAGCCCCAGTGCCATCTTTCGGCTTTGTCATTACGTACAACCGGACAATTATCGTTGGCATGACCACAAAGCGTGATGATGTAGTCTGCTTGCTTTAAGATCTCAGGATCAATGACATCTGATGTATGATTGGAAATATCTATCCCAGCTTCTTTCATAGTTTGAACAGCGCGAGGATTTAAGCCATGCGCCTCTAACCCTGCACTTCTCACCTCGTATTTGTCACTACCAAGCGCCTTTAAAAATCCATCGGCGATTTGGCTTCTGCAAGAGTTTCCTGTACACAAAAAGTAAACAAGTGGTTTGTTGTTCATGATTATTGATCTCCTTTATCTTTGGGTTGGCTTACTTGTACTTTCGCTTCGCCCATTTTTGAGTTAATTAATGTTTTTATGATCATAGCGATAACAACCAATGCTACTGTGATTACGGCAATCATCAACCAAACGTTTATGCTTGTTGAATGAATCAAGTGTAGCCACAAATACAGTCCTGTTAACGTGATAAAGAGCGTTGGGATGGTGAGCACAATTCCAATTTTGAAATAACTTCCCCACGTGATTTTTACATCTTTGCGGGACAGTACATGTAGCCACAAAAGTGTGGCGAGCGATCCAATCGGTGTGATTTTTGGACCCAAGTCGCTGCCGATAATATTGGCATAAATCAGCGATTCCCGGATGACACTTTGCGTACTCGTTCCATCAATAGCAAGCGCATCAATCATCACTGTCGGCATATTGTTCATAACCGAAGACAATACTGCAGCTAGAAAACCCATACCAAGTGTGGAGATGTAGAGCCCTTGGTCGGCAATAGCTTGAATGACCTTACCAAGTTCATCCGTCAATCCTACATTTCGCAGTCCATAAACGACGACGTACATACCAATGGAGAAAATCACGACTGCCCATGGAGCCCCTTTAATGAGCTTCCAGGTTTGAATAGCGTGACTCCGTCGTGCAGCTAAAATAAACAAGATGGCAATAACCCCAGCGATAACAGACACCGGAACTTGAATGAACTCGCTCATCAAGTACGCAATCAGTAGCACGGCTAAGATCACCCAAGATATTTTGAACAGTTTCTTATCCTTGATCGCTTCAGCTGGCTTTTTGAGCTGACTGACTTCGTAGTTTCCTGGAATGCTCTTTCTAAAGAACAAGAATAAGACCAGAAGACTCGCTAATAATGAAAAGAAATTCGGAATAATCATACGACTTGCATACTCCACAAATCCAATACCAAAGTAATCCGCAGAAACGATATTGACAAGGTTGCTAACGACGAGCGGAAGTGAAGTTGTATCTGCAATAAAACCACTTGCGATGATAAAAGGTAAAATCATCTTTTGATCAAATTTGAGCGCTCGGACCATGGCAAGCACAATGGGTGTTAATATCAGTGCGGCACCGTCATTTGCAAAGAACGCTGCTACACCTGCTCCAAGCAGCACAACATAAACGAACATCAGCTTGCCATTACCTCTTGCGAGCCTTGCCATGTGTAATGCAGCCCATTCAAAAAATCCGATTTCATCTAAAATCAGCGAAATTAAAATAATGGCTACGAAAGCAAGCGTGGCGTTCCATACGATTCCTGTGACCGTACCTACATCGGATAGACTTACGACTCCAAAAAGGAGAGCAAGGACAGCTCCAGCTGACGCTGACCATCCAATATTCAGTCCTTTAGGTTGCCAAATCACAAAAGTCAGTGTAAGTAAAAAGATTAAAATCGCGATAATGGTCATGCTTCCTCCTGAGGACCGCAGCAGTTTTTCAATCCTGCTATTATATCTTTCATGGATGGCAGATACGGATACACACACTGAACATATGCTTCTGCATCTGGATTAAGAGAGTAGTACACCCACTGCCCTTTTTTCTTTTCATTAAGGAGACCGGCTGCCTTTAGTTTTCGAAGATGCTGACTGGCGTTTGGTTGTGACATGCCAATAATGTCTGTGATATCACATACACAAAGTTCTTGTTCCTGAAGTAGCGCAACAATGGTCAGACGTGTTTTATCAGCTAATAATTTATACGCCTCAGCCATCTTCTGAATTTTTTGTTCCATATGTACCCCCTGTGAAGATTATGGTCGGATTCATTTAATGATATAATCATATAATAAATCACTTATATAATCAACGACGAATATAAAGAGTATTAGTACACAAAAAAAGTCGGCAATAAAGATTGCCGACTTTACTCTCGAACTAAAAATTCACATTTTGATTTAATAAAATAATGACCGTCTTTCATCTTAACTATATCTTTCGTTTGATACTCAATGACTCCACCTTGATCTAATAATTCATCATGCTGATATACCTCTACATGCCATTGTTTTAAGATTGCATCATTAAGTTGTGCTGCGGTATACAAAAGTGTGCCCTTCATTATAGTCACCTCAAGAATTGTTATAATCACCAATTATAACATCCTCCTGAGATTCAATAGCTCACAATCTTTTCACAAGTGATTGTACAACTTTTTTCGCATCTTTCCCTGAGCCTCGAATCGTCGCCGAAGCAAATGAGGTCTGCCATGGTATACCTACGAAGTGAATACTTTCATCGGTTTGTTTTAAAGGTACACCAGATGAATCAAGAACGTTCAATCCACTAAGATATTCGAAATTCGGAATATAACCTGTGGCATAAATAACTGTATCCACATTTTCACGAGTCTCATCTGCCCACACTATCCCATTTTCCGTAAAAGCTTTGAACATCAGTTTGGCATCTGGCTTACCTTGATCGATAGCACTTTTATATATACCGGTATCAAGGACACCGTCACTGCTTTTTTGCAATAATCGTTTGCCCCAATTGGTTTGATCAAGCCTAAGTATAGTTAGCCAAAAGTGAATATCTTTCCCTACAATGACCTGCGGCTTGAATTTGATCGGGCTTCTAGATGCAATCGTTACATGAGCAGTCCTAGCAAGTTCAACCGCTATTTGGACCGCTGAATTGCCTCCTCCCACTACAATGATCCGTTTATTTTTAAACTCTTTCTCATTTCGGTAGTCTTTGGCATGAAGCATTTCCCCCTTAAATTCATACATGCCAGGAATGTCTGGAGTATGAGGATTTACGAATGCCCCACTTGCACAAATGATGGACCTTGTTCGAAACTGTTCTCCGCTTAAGGTATGGACTGTATAGATATTGCTTTCCTTGTCTACCTTGATTACTTCTTGCCCTGAATGTATTGGAAAATTGTATGTAGCCGCATAAGACTTTAAGTACTGAACAACCTCATCTTTACGCGGATAAACATTTGAACCGCCTGGAAATGCGAGTCCTGGCAATGAGGAATACGACGCAGGTGAAAACAACGTTAAGCTATCATAATAATTTGCCCATGATCCTAAATGCTCTTCACTCTTTTCCAGTAAGATAAAGTTCCGTTTAGCTTCTTGTAAGTAGTAGGCTGCTGCCAAACCGGATTGACCACCACCAATAACGATGCAATCATAAATCATGTTTTTCATTTCTCTCCCTCCTTCTATAAAAAAAAGCTACTGCATCACGTTCCGGATGCAGTAGCTTCAAATTCTTGTTTATCCGCAGCAAGAATTTGATCCTGCCTTTTCTGTTTTTGAAGGAGAGCAGCGATTCGAAGATGATGTTTCCTCCACTTGAACCGGTTCACAGCAGCTGTCCTTGCTATTAGCACCAAGACTGCAAACCCCCGTCTCCGGCAGTTCCAGTTCTACTTTTTGAGCTGACTCCATATCTCCCACCAAAGCCGCTACAATGGATCTGACTTGCTCATATCCCGTTGCCAATAGGAAGGTTGGCGCTCTTCCATAACTTTTGGCACCCACGATATAAAAGTCCTTTTCAGGTTGACGCAGTTCTTTTTCGCCATGTGGTCGAACTGTACCGCAGCTGTGTACATTGGGGTCAATCAATGGTGCAAGCTCATAAACACAGTCTAAGCTTGGGTCCGTTAATACCCGAACTTCTCTCACCGTTGATAAGTCAGGACGAGAGCCTGTGTTACCTACAATTTCATCGATGTGATCTATAACCACTTTTTCATCTTTAATGGTTCCGGAAACCTGGATCTGTTCACCTTGTTTTTGAAGTTCTTCAATATGGAATCCTGTCAGGACCTTTACAGCACGGGATTCAACCACTTTTTGAATTCGAGTACCCAGTTCACCCCTTGCCTGAAGCCCATCTAATTCTCGCCCGCCATAAACATCCTCAATATTTGCCTTTCGAATAGTCCAAACGATTTCAGTTCCCGACTCCTCTTTTTGAAGCTGGGCAAGTTCAAGCAACGTGTTGATCGCAGAATGTCCGCTTCCTACAACAAGCACCTTCTTGCCGCTATAACGATTTTTCTCTTTTCCTAATACAGCAGGAATACCGTATGAAATGTGACTATTAAGCGCTTTTTCCTCTTCTGAAAATATACCGTCTGAACGAAGCGGGTTGGGATTGGACCATGTCCCAGAAGCATCGATAACAGCCCGTGCTTCATAAATAAACGAAGATCCGTTTTGTTCAACATGGATCACAAACGGCAGTTTCTCACGCCCACTTGTTTTCACTTTGCTTAACCCTTTACGACTGATCGCAGTAACTTTCGTATTCAAATGTATATTTGGACTTAATTCAGGTAGCGCAGCCAAAGGTTTTAGATAATGCTCAACAATTTCCTTACCTGTTGGGATCTTTTCGTTTTGTGGAGCAACCCAATTCGCCTTTAGTAGTAACTCTTTAGCAGCTTTATCGATGTTATACTGCCATGGCGAGAACAGTCGTACATGTTCCCATTTGCGAATGTTTGCCCCCACTTCATCTCCAGCTTCAAACAACATAAACGGCTCACCTTTTGAAATGAGTTGTGCTGCTGCCGCAAGACCAACCGGTCCAGCTCCAATGATCGCAACAGGTAATTTGCCATTCTCTTGTACTGGTGCTTCGCAGCAGCTCACTTGGTTCATAGGGATATGTTTAATCATCTTAGTTTCCTCCTCATTATTAGTTGCATTTTGCAAGTATTATATTAAATAAATGGGATATTTACTATCCCAGTGGTGTACAGCATACGCTGGATTTCGCCATACTTTCGTTTAGCAATTTGACGGCGTTGATGACCATATCCCGTTCAAACTCAGACATATGCGAAAAGACTTCTTTTAAATAATCATTCATTTGCTCATCAATGACCGTAGCAACAAACTTACCTTGTGAAGTCAAGGATAATATGTAAATCCGTCGATCTTCAGGTAAAGGCGTTTTTTGAACCAAACCCAACTTTACGAGACTTTGAACCTGGCGGCTAAAGGTCGTGATGTCAATGGAGAGTGCATCTGCCACTTGCTGAATGGATGGATTATGTTTACGATCAATTTCATAAATGATATGACTCTGAACAAGTGAAATATCTAACCCTCCTGCGGTGCAACAGTTTTTATCCAACAATCCAAAACGCCGTGTCATGATCTGAAACATCTCTCTTACGTTGTTTTCCAATTACCTCACCTCTTGTTATAGTTATACTCTAATTATTTGCAAATTGCAAATGTTTTTTTGGTTTTCCATTCCACCTTCCCATTTTAAATTACATTGTGATATATAAACATATACAAAAACAAAACGAAGGAGTGATCAACATGGTAATTCTGCGGCAAGCTACCGAAGTGGATCTGAGAAGTATTCTGACTATTTATAACCAAGGTATTGAAGACCGAATTGCCACGCTAGAAAGTGAGTTAAAAGACGAATTATATATGAACGAATGGTTTAATAAATACAAAGGACGCTACACCGTACTCGTCGCTGAAGTGAACAAGAGCGTTATTGGATGGGCGTCCATTAATGTATATAATCCTAGAAGTGCTTATGATGGTGTTGGTGACCTCTCAATCTATATTCATCGGGATCATCGCGGCAAGGGGATCGGAAAACAGTTGCTTCAGAAATTAGAGGAATCGGTAAACGGAATAAGCATAAGTTTGTTCTGGTACCTTTCCATTTATACTCTAAGGTCCGGAAGCTTATATCATAGAGCCGGATACCGAGAGGTAGGTGTATTCCAGAGCCAAGGCATTCTAGAAGGGAATTTTGTAGATGTGATGGCTATGGAAAAATTATTATAAACATTGATTCGTATTATTGTTTAATGTCCAGTCGCAATAGGTCCTTTAATCGTCGAAACATATGGTGGGGGTAAAAATAAGCAGTTTGCGGCCACTCAAAACGCAATCCATTAAACTAACCTGCCCGTTAGCTTTACGAATTGACAGGCGAAAACAGATTAGATATATGCCTAATCGGCAATCAGACTATGTTCTTGTCTATTCCGGTAATCGGTACAAGTTTTTGTCCTTGGCTTGGGACAGAACACCGATAAGCCGCTAAATAGCGAGCTTCAATGGGACCATATTCGTGTCCTTCGACATCTTCTTTAGGCTTTGGTTCTTTGCTAAGTATTCCTTAAGCAGATTAGAATTACTTCCGAAATATCTACATCTAAAATAGCGACCTCTAATGCCAAGAACCTATAGTTATTTATATAAATACTTTTCATCACCATTTTGCATCCCAAAGTAACGTAATCGGTAACCTCTCTGCAAAACGGAAGCCGCCAACTTGTCAATGAACAAGTCATCCTCAAACTGAATGTGCCCCGTCAAATAGAGTGTAATTAAGTACTCTTCGAACGGAAGATTTCATAAATACATTTCCTCTTCCTCTATCTTTCCTCGAAGCACATCGATTTCAAGAACCAACATGTGAGAAAAGCCTTGCAACGTTGAATTAATGATCCAAGCAAATTCGAAAGGTTCGTGTATCTCCTCGTCGTTGTTGAGCTTTAAAATTTTCTGGATACCTCTCTCATCTTTAAAAACATACGCAGCAAGAGCTTGATCAAAGCCTGCTTCAGGATCAAACCTTAAACTAGAAAAACATTGAGATCTACTTGTTCAGCATAATAAGCTTCAGTTAGCCGGTTATGAATTTGTGTTCTAATGTAAAAGGATTGGGTATCTCTAAGGTCAGATAGTTTTCGTATAGTCGCTGACGCTATAATCATTTATTATCTCCTCATTATTGGAATGGATAAGAGGGCAAGTTTATTGAAGCGTTAATCTATTCTGACCATCCAGTATAATACGTACGAGATAGATTATCATCAGTCTTAAATTAACCGGAGTATTTATTAATGTAATCGGATAATGATAATTCTCTATAACTTTGTTGATAAACCCTCTTCGCTGAGCAGCCAGTAAAGTTTCATACATATTTTTACGTCGAACCGGGTTACGCAACTTATTTCCATTTACATCTTCACCTAAGTCGTGCTCTAGGGTGAGAATGTTAACCTAATATGTATGGCTTCATCATAGCTAGGATCCACCATGAAACCTTCTGGACGGTCTCTGGGGTCATCTCCATAAAGATTGATCCGCTTTGCCATAATCCAAAGTTAGCTCAGTTAATTAAATTGTTGCATGAACTCTGTAAAGTCTGAGGCGATATAAATATCCTGAGGATCGGCAGAAGGTATAGTTTCTACATAAATAATACTGGGATGAGGCAAGTTGCTGAAAATAAAAGCAAAAGAGGTTACCCTCCTCATCTATAGCAAAAGGAAAATGATTAAGAGGAAGACTGTTCTTTTGCTCATTATATACATCTAATATATAAAGATCATCAAATGCGATGAAGGTTAAGAAGGAAGAAAACATAACTTTCTTTCCATTGATATTCAACGTCCGTTGTACAGGCTCTGCACCGTGATATTTTTGAATAAACTTAATGTATTCTGAAGGAAACTGTATACCCCATTTTTCTTCTACTAGCCTTACTGCACGCATATCAACAGAAGAATACTCCGTGCTCCAGGTATTATTATCGACCATATGCTCTACTCCCTACTTATGATTTAAATTCATTGAATCTATTTAACCCACTTGATGTCATCATCTGACCAGTAATGTGCTCCAATCGGGGTCATCCACTTGATTAACCTGAATAATTTCTCCCGTATCATTTCTTCCTTCAACATAATATCATGTGATAATATACTGTAACCGGTGCATTATTCTGTCCTTTTCTTTGATCAACCCAGTCTACAGTCCCCGCCGGTTCATTTATAGCTTCACTCAGTCGTTGATCATTCAACCACGTTAGTAATTTGATCTGCAATACTTTTGCCACCTCTTTTGTAGGTTCTTGGCTATAGTGAAAAGGGCTCTCCAGAATAACATTG